GGCCGCCGCGCCCGGCCGGTGCTTGAGCGCAGGTCCCAGGGATGCCGGGTTTGGGGCGCCAGGCTCTGGGGTCCTTTCATTCCTAGAGGACGGGGCGCCCGGGACGTCCCCTCTTGCCCTGCACATCCATTTTCTTAAATCTCACAGCGGGGTGTTTAGGTCTGGACTGGCCACCCACCTTCTCCCCTTATTGACTTGCATGTCTGTAACGTTTTTTATTCACTTGCGTGTTTGCCGTTTGCCAGCCTAGACCGTATTCTTCCTCATTCCTAGCTACCAGGGGACCAACACCTCGGGGGCTTTTATGCACCTTTTAAAAAAATCTTTGCTTTACGTTGATCTATAGGAATTTTGGCCACTTGACCCCCTCCCCCTTTTTTTTGATCTTTGAACAATGCCGGCATTAGGGGCACCAACACCCTGCCCACCTTCCACCCCTCGTGGATTGGAAAATCCGGTATAACCTTTGACTCCCCAAAACTTAATTGTAGTGGCCCTCCGCATGCGGGGATTCCCAGCTTTGATGAAAAACATATTTAACCGGACGCAGTTCCTTCCATCCACCAAGTGATAGGACGTGTGTTTGGACTTTGAATCCATCCCAGTTTTGGCACTCACTAGCGGTGTAAACTGGATAAAATTACTTCTTTGTTCTTTAAGTTTCCTCCGTATAACTTTTGACTCCCCAAAACTTAATTGTAGTGGGCCCTCCGCATGCGGGGATTCCCAGCATATGATGAAAAACATATTTAACCGGACGCAGTTCCTTCCATCCACCAATTGATAGGACGCGTGTTTGTCTAGACTTTGAATCCATCCCAGCTTTGCCACTCACTAGCTGTGTAAACTGGATAAAATTACTTCTTTGTGCTTTAAGTTTCCTCATCTGTGAAATGATGATGAAAGTGCTTAATTTATTGTGCTGTCAAGAGCATTAATTTAGTACAGGGAAAGCACAATAGTACCAGGAAGATGGTAGTGATTATCATCATTAGATGCCAGCCAGTTTTCTAAGCAGCTCTGCTCTAGTACTTAGGTTTTGCTGGGACATGTTTATTAATCACTTATTTGGGGTACTGGGTGCTCTGAAAAATCAACCTGTACATCATGCTCACGAGGCAGTCAAGGGGCATCTGTACCCATGGTTCTTCTGTTCACTACAGCCTGGGCCTTTCAGGGTCAGGCTCCATCATGCCTGTTGTAAAAAGTTCCATTCAGAAAACGGAAATGACCTTCATCCGGTTGGTGAGCCAGTGTTCCCTCAAGTACATGATTGGGACAGTTTTGAACAAAATCTCAAAAACATGGACGAACAGCTCTTTTACAGGAGACTGAACAACTGCACTTCACCAGAAGAAGTGCTAAGTTTCATAAGCACACTGCAAACTTTGCCTGATACGATGGCGGCAGGAGCCTTACAACGGATCTGTGAAGTGGGAGAAAAAGATGGTGATGAAAGGCTGCCAAAGGAAGTAATAGAAAATCCCGACTTTCAAGCTTTATGTGTTCAGTTTGAACAGGAACCCTCAAATCTGTCAAACACCGGTTTGGTGACTGCGTTGCAAGCCCTGACTCTGTTGTCTGTGGATCCCCAAAGTAGCTTGTTACTGAACCTGGTGGCAGAATGCCAACATCGTGTCAAAACGGGCGGCCTGGAAATCCACAGCCTTTGTGTTCTTGCAGAAAGTCTGCTCAAACTACGAGGTCCAGGTTGTGCGACCCTAGACCTGATTATATATCAACTGCAAGGTGAAAAATTGGAAGATTTTACCCCCGAGGATATTGTGGCCCTTTATAGAATACTGCAGGCATGTACTGAAAAAGTGGACCAACACCAGACATTTCTAAATAAGATAAACAGCTTTTCTCTGTCAATAGTTTACACCCTGAGTGCTAAATCAATAAGCCAAATGCTCACTGCCCTGGTGGTTCTCGATCAAACTCAGGCACTTCCTCTGGTTATAAAATTGGGTAAATATGTTGTGAGACATATCCCTCATTTCACTAATAAAGAGCTTGGAAAAGTCTTAGAGGCTTTCATATACTTTGGGCACCATGACCGATTTTTTATAACAGCCCTGGAGCAGCACGTAGTGTCCCTGTGTCTCACTTTGGACCCTGAGGTTGTCAGCAAAGTCATGGAGTACTGCAGCAGGAAACAGATCCTTTCAAAACCCATCTTGAATGCAGTGGCAGAAACTTTTGTTTGCCATTCCGAAAAATTTTCCCCTAGTCAGATTTCTGAGTTGATTGAACCATTTGGAAAACTCAATTATTTGCCACCAAATGCCTCTGCTTTATTTAGAAAGCTAGAAGATATGTTATACACTCATTTCAACTCTTTTCCTCCCAAAACACTATTGAAACTTCTCCATTCATGTTCGCTTATTGAATGCCATCCAGTCAACTTTATGGGAAAAATATTCAGTCCTTATTTTCTTCAAAAGCTGCAAGGTGAGTTGGTTATAACTTCTGCGAGTGGAAAAAATAACCTTTGAACTTAATGGTGTTTTCAAGCCACATATGTAGCTTTTACATTGAGGAATGCTTTACCTTTTTTTAAAATTCCATAACTTAGAGGCCCGGTGCACAAAATTTGTGTGTGGGGGAAAGGGGGGCGGTTTCCCCCTCAGCCTGGTCTGCACCCTCTCGCAGTCTGGGAGGATGTCCAACTGCCTTGGAGGTGGGAGAGGCTCCCGCTACCACCGCTGCACTTACCAGCTGTGAGCCTGGCTTCTGGCTGAGCGGTGCTCCCCCTGTGGGAGTACACTGACCACCAGGGGGCAGCTCCTGCATTGAGTGTCTGCCCCCTGGTGGTCAGTGTGCATCAGAGTGACCAGTAGTTCCACGGTTTAGTCAATTTGCATATTAGCCTTTTATTATATAGAATAAACTAAAGAGGACATCTGAAGTTGTAGATAGCAGTGTAAATGCAGAATTAAAGCATGCTAGAACATTGCATTGAGTGAGAGAACAGTTTTGGGTAAACAGACTGCTGCCCTAGCTGAGAAACAGTATTCTTAGGGGACTGCGGTGATGGAACTGGTAAAGTCACAGCAACATGTTTGAATCTTTGTGAAAGAGAACTGTAGAACTCTTTTTTTCTTTTTCTTTTTTGAGAGACAGTAGTATCTTAATTGAAGGGCACCAGATATGTCAACAATCTCAATTTCCAAGAACTTTCATTAATTCGACTAACATTTTGTCCCTTTTAATTATATATTCTCTAGTTAGGAGCTTCAATTCTTGGAAGGTAAAATGAGATTGCACTGATGGCAAGCAAGAAGGCATAAAGGCATAATTAATTCCAACATGTTCTTTTCATAGTGTCATTTAAGAGTAACTTAATGGAGTGAATAAATGAATGTTTTATATTCTTAATATTCTTTTTTTTTAACTCTTAATATTATTTTCTCTCATTACATGTATCAAAATTCAAATTTAACTATGACTAAGATGCTTTTTATTTCAGGCGAGGAATCATATTTGGACAGACTGAGCCTAGCACAACTAACCCAGCTTTTGTTAACCTCGATCCTCGAATGCCCTTTCTATAAGGTAAAAGCATGAGCTGTACTTTATTTCTCTATGGGGGCAGTTTTCTTTTGTTCCCTCTCCCCTACCATCTAACATTTTTGTTTAGTTCTTTCTCTTTTGATCTGTCTCAATCTCATTAACAATTAGAACTTCCATTCACTTGGAGTTAGTGGTCACCAGATAGCCTTTTCTTTGATAAATCAACCCCACTCCTGTTTTCTTGTCCTTGAAGGACCCATTTCCTGGTGTGTAAGATTTCTTGGAAGATGCTGCAGGGTTAGAGTAATAGTACTCAGAGAGCCATGCTGAGGGTGTTAGCCCCACAGCAGTGTGGCTCTGGACTGAACACATCCTAATCCGGGGTACATTTTTAAGTGCAGGCTGTCATCTGATGGAGTTCGGTGGAGGTGGAGTTTGTGTGTCCCCTCCGCAGTGTGGGGGTAGCCACATCTCCCCCACTTCTATTGTATTGTGACATTAGTCCCTTTAATTTTTCATTTGACTCTGAAAAACAGTATCACATTTTTAAATTATATTTTAATGAGCAATAAGGAAGTTGAGCATATCTTTAAATGTTTATTGGTCATTTACATTTGCTGTGAATTGCCTTTCTACCCTCTAACTCATATTTCTATGGGCTTATTTTTTTCCCATAGGAGTCATTGTAAAACAGATTTTAGCTATTGTGTGTGTTGTACATATTTTCTTCTGGTTTTAATTCTTAGGTTTTTAATTTAATGTTTATGATGCCTCCTTGCTGAATTAAAATTTTTAAGCTTTCTATAGTCAAATATATCCCATTTTTTATGGCTTCTAGGTTTCCTATCCTGCTTAAAAATATTTCATCACTCATAAGCTAATATCAATGTTTTACTAAATTTTTATTTTTATTTATATTTTTTAAACATATTTTTATTGATTTCAGAAAGGAAGGGGGAGGGAGAAAGAGCTAGAAACATTAATGATGAGAATCATTGATTGGCTGCCTCCTACACGCCCCCTATTGGGGATCAAGCCCACAACCTGGGCATGTGCCCTTGATCAGAATCAAACCTGGGACCTTTCAGTCCACAGGCTGACACTGTATCCACTGAGCCAAACTGGCTAGGGCTACTAAATTTTTATTATCTGGTTGGTTTTGTATCTTATTTTTCTTTCTCATATTTGCGTATACAATTTGTAGGGTCCAAAACTCCT